TGTGTCCCCTCACCCCTTCCTTGTCCCCCAAGTGCCACCATCCCTGTGTCCCCTCACACTGTCCCCTGTCTCCCAGGTGTCCCCCATGTCCCCTCACCCTTTCCTTGTCCCCCAGGTGCCACCACCCCCTGGTCACTACCACCCCTCACACTGTCCCCTGTCCCCCAGGTGCCACCCCCGTGTCCCTGCCACACTTTTGTGTCCCCTCACACATTTTCCTGTCCCCAGGTGCCACCACCCCCGTGTCACTGTCACCTCTCACACTGTTCCCTGTCCCCAGGTGCCACCCCCGTGTCTGTGCCACCCTTTTGTGTCCCCTCACAGTGTCCCCTGTCCCCAGGTGTCCCCTGTGTCCCCTCACACTTTTTCCTGTCCCCAGGTGCCACCCCCGTGTCCGTGCCACCCTCACCGTGGAGTCCCTGCGGGCGCTGTCGCAGCTGCACTCCCCGCCCGGGGGGGGAGGTGCCAGCCGCCACCGCCGCGGTGCCAGCGGTGCCAGCGGTGCCAGCAGTGCCAGCGGTGACAGCAGTGTCCCCCCGATGTGGGAGGAGGAGGACGAGTGCCTGCACTTCCACGGCATGCTGTCCCTGCACCGCCTCTTCGAGGTGCTGGCCGCGCAGCTGACCCCGGCCGACGTCACCGTGCTGTCCTTCCTGCTGGACGAGGCCCTGTCACCGTGCCCCGGGGACGGTGACAGCGGGGCCAGCCCCCCGAGGGGGCGGCGGGACCCCCGGGACGGGCTGGAGCTGCTGCTGGAGCTGGAGCGGCGCGGGCTGTGCCACGAGGGGGACCTGGGCCTGCTGCGGCAGCTGCTGCGGCTGCTGGCACGGCACGACCTGCTCAGGTGTGTCACGCTGAAGAGGCCGAGGCCAGGTGAGTGTCACTGCATTGTCACTGCATTGTCACCTGTCTGTGTCACCCTGTGTGTCCTTGTGTCACCCCCGTGTCCCCCAAACCCTGCTCTGTGTGCCCCCCGTGTCCCCCAGCCCGACCTGCTCAGGTGTGTCACCCTGAAGAGACCGCGGCCAGGTGAGTGTCACCTCATTGTCACCTGTCTGTGTCACCCTGTGTCCCTCTGTGTGTCCCTGTGTGTCCCTGTGTGCCCCTGCCCGACCTGGGCCTGCTGCGGCAGCTGCTGCGGCTGCTGGCACGGCACGACCTGCTCAGGTGTGTGACGCTGAAGAGACCGCGGCCAGGTGAGTGTCACCTCGGTGTCACCTGTCTGTGTCACCTGTCTGTGTCACCCTGTGTCCCTCTGTGTGTCCCTGTGTCCCTTCTGTGTCCCCTGTGTGTCACCCCCGTGTCCCCCTGACCTGCTCAGGTGTGTCACCCTGAAGAG